AAAGGAAAAACTGGAGACAAAGTCTTTGTAAATAGGGAGTGAGGGGACGGAAGGACAGGAGAATGGGGAAAAAATAAGAACCAAGATACATCATGTAAAGGAGCACATTCCCAGTGATAAATGTCATCATATTGTATACCAACAATGTGCCAATAAATTTACTGAGTTAAAAAAGACTATCAACCTTTGGTGTGCATGTATAAACATATTGCTTACTTAAAAATGAAAATACTAAATTACACAATGCTGGATATGTACAGCCCCCAAAATGGCATGTACCCCGAAAGCTATGGCCTCTTCGTAAAGCACGGTGCTCAAGTCTGCTATTGTGTTTAAGTCTGACTAACGGGCCAGCCTGTGCCAGATAATGCTGCAGAAAAACCAAGCTCAGCTGCATGTGGCAAGGCTTGGCTTCACCCTGCAGGCTTGGTTAGGGTTTGCTCCACGTCTCCACGTGCCCAAGCCTTTCCTTGCTTCACACCCACTCACACCCCGTGGGCCGAAGCAAGTCACGTGGTCAGGCTCACCATGAGCAGGACAGGGACGTATATTCTGCCTTTGGTGGGATTAACTGTGAAGTCGCTTGTGATAGGCAGTTACATAGAAGACACGTGGAAAAGGATACTGGGAAACTAAAGAACTGGGAGCAGAAATCCAGTCTACTCCAGGCCTAAACATCTTTAATTATATTGTTTCCTTCTAGTTAGGTTTGAGGCATTCATTGATTTTTTTATATACTTCATTATGAAAGGAATAAGCTATAGATTTTTTTAGCATGGGCATGACAGAAATTCTGAGTGCACTAAAGACTATAATTTCTCTTTAAAAATGAAGCCGAAATCCGAAGTACTCATTCTCTCGTTTATTTATTCCAGTCCTTTTTCTTTCCTTGAACGCCGCTACTGCTGCTTCGAGCTGATTCTCTCTCTCCATCGGCCTCACCGGAATGGACTGACCAGGAGGGGCTGGTTCCACACAGATTCCCTCTTTCTTGTGAGCCCAGGTCCCACACGTTAAGTTCAGTAATGTAGAAAGGGTGAATTCCGGGCCTCTACCTGGGGAAGCTGGGCTCACAAGGCAGAAGCTAAGTGAACACAGGCAAGGTGTTCAGAAGAGGCGGGGCAGTTGCAGAGCAGGACAAACGTGTGCTCGACTCTCAAAAGCCCTGGGTCCTAAAAATACTTTCCCAGCATGGACTTGTCAAAACCAGCTTCCACATTTGTCTTCCTGAATACTAAAAGAAAAATACCTCATTTCACCCCACTGTTGCATATGCATGCTACTGTTTTCTGCCACAACTGCTGTTTCAGCTCCTCCCGGGGTCGCTGCCTGTGTATCACTTGTCTCTGTCTCCTCTGCCCCATCATATCTGTCCAGCTGTAAAGATTCTCGTTTCCACAATTTTATATAACACCCTACACGAGTGTATTCAAAAGGTTTTGTGAAATTACCGGTAAGATAAAATATATGTGGCTAGAAAAAAAATCAGTGAAGAAATTATAGTGTCCTTTGATTCAAGGACATGGCGGTTTTTGCGCGAACGACCAGGGAATAATTCACAGGCTGTGGCAATTTGCACAAAGAACAAGAGTGGTAAGGGCCAGGGATTTAGCTCCGTGGTGCTACTGCGTGCCTTGCAAGCACAAGGTCCTGAGATCAAGCCCTGGTACCAAAAAAAAAAAAAAAAAAAAAAAAAA